TATTGTCAGGCAAGTAAAGAGCTGAAGATTTATTACTTGATATCGTTTCTGAGAATTCAAATTTTGCAACAAGCGTCTATAATATATAAATTTATATATAAATTAATATTATAGCATTTATAAAAGAAAGTAATATTCTAATTATCCTTAACTATTTTAATTTTTTTAGATGTAATTAGAATATGATTAATATATCTATTCTAATTATACCTGAAGAATTAAAATAGTTAAATTAAGCATTTCGATATAATTGATATAATTAAAGTAAGTAAAAAAATAAATATAAAAACTTATACTTTTAATGCACTTTTTGATTTAAGTAAAGAGTTAACACAGTAATAAAAGCTATTCCATCGTGTTTCTACAGGATTCGCCAATGAAATAAAATGCTTATACAAAGAATACTGCTCATCACGAAGCTTACTAATAAAATAAGAATGGTTAGCATTTTTAAAATAAGCTACAACCGTAATTGCTGACTTCATTGCTATATTAAAATCATCGGATTCCTTGAAAATTTCTCCCATACATAAATTAAATTGATGTGCATAACACGGTAAAAAAATTTTGTTAGGATATTTTAATCTAAGTCTACGTCTATAATTAAAAAAAAGTATTAATATATTTCTAATATATATTTATTTATAGAATAGTTTAATATTACCTCGAAGCAGCATAAGCTGCATCACTGTCTGTTACAAGCCCGTTAATTTTTATTTCTAATGCATCAATTTCTCTAAATATTTCTTCAGTCATTTCCATTATGTCTTCATATTTTTTTCTTCGTCCACTAATATCAATTACATTCCATACTAACGTTTCACCATTAGACATTATTAGTACTGAGCCTAAGATTTCTTGATTTATTACATTTTTCCAACCGTCAAAAGCAATCATAATTCCATGTGAGTCACTACGTGCTTTATCTTGTATATAAGATTTGTTTGTTTCAGTTGCAGACTTTAAAATACGTCCAGCTAACTGTTTTCTGCTAGGTAACACTAAGTGAGGATTCAACCAACGATAATGCTCGATGACACTTTTAT